CCTGCAAGGGCTGCTACTGGCAGAAGCTGGCCTCCTGCCCGCCCTCACTCTTGGGTGATGATGCGCAGGCGAGGCAGCGTCCCTGGCTGCAGGGCCTTTACTTCGAGCTCCTTATCTAGTCCCAGGGGCACCAGGTCCTTCTATTTCTTGGAGGGTCCCAAGACAGTAGCTCACCTTCTCTGGGGCTCCCCAAAACCCTTGCTGAGGCTGCTGGTGCTACCGTGGGACCACCTGAGGATTTAATGATGAACATCTTGTTGGCATGTGGAAAGGCAGCAGGCAGGACCTGTACGGCATCCTCAGCACCTCCAAGTGAACGCTCAGCACGTCGCTCCCTCCCACTCTTGTCAGGTCAGGCAGAGCAGGGGGAAGCCCCAGCTCCCAGTGAGGGCCGCTGGTCTCCGTGGCGCGGAGCCCGCCTCTCTGCCCTAGCCGTGTCCTGGCAGCACAGGCCTATTCTAACTCTTTACTTTGGTTAGGAAAACACAAAGGAATTGGAGCAGAGAGTCATGGAAGAATTCCTTTAGCTCAGTTCAGCTAAAAATCCCTGAACCCCACAAAGCACCAGTACCCAGGATATAACAGGAGCCCAAGTGTCTGCCCTTGCGAGATCAGTCTGTCAGCATTTCATTATACTTAATATACCTGTATGTCTTGGGTCCACGCTAGACAGGAAAAGCAGTGGGGTTTCTGGGAGCCAGAGGAGCACGACCAGTTAGGAAAGAGGGCAGCGATCGGTAGCCTGAGATGTGAGGGGGATGCTCAGAGTCGGGAGAACCGCCAGGCAGAGGCTGCAGCAGGCTCAGAGGGGCCATGGCAGGAAGTTCGAGGAGCCGAGGGAAAATGCATAGCTGGTGTAGTGGGCAAGTGGGTGCCACTTCAGGTCCTCATTTTGCACAGGCCAGTGGGACAGCTTGTCCAGGACCCACGGAGTGAGCAGTCAGCCAGGGTCTGTCGGGCCCAAGCGTCCACCGTGACATCTGCGATGGGCTCTCTCCTCTGTGCCCTCCTGGGACCTCTTGGGAGCTCCTGTCTGCTCCGGACCCTCCACTTCCCACCTGCCAGGACCAGGCCAGCTGGCCTCGATGTGTGGGACCCCAGAAGCTCCCACGCTGACCCAACAAAGCAGAGCCACCTGCGCTCGAGAGCCTGCGATAGGCCACCCTGTGCGGAGGATGGGGCAAAAACGACAGTCTGGGGAGACAAAGAAGGCTCCTGGCCAGGAAAAAATATGCCAGGCAAAAGGCAGGCAGTGCTTTGAGGCTTCTATGCAGACCAGGTGCAAACAGAGCCAAGAAAACTGTTCAAAGAGGGCTAGGAAAGACCAGTGTTAGCCGGGCATGAAGTCAAATGGGTGAAAAAGATGGGACACAAGGCAGCATCCAGCCCGGGGACAGCTTCTGGCGCCCCCTCGTGGGCACTATGGGAACAGCTGTGAAACCATAGGGAAGAACAAAACCTAGCATTTTTGAATATTGACCAAAGGAAGTGCTGCCGTGGCAGGCACTGTCCCTGAAGAACACGAGCTCCCGTGATCCTCCACAAGCCTCTGTATGGTAGGAATTTTTATGCCCACTCAGGGAACTTGAGGCTTGCAGCGTACCCTAGGTTCCTGGCTGGTAAATGGCAGAAATGGGAGCAGGTTCTGCGTAGTTTGGTCTGCGCACCACCCCCTTTGCTGGCGGCACACTGCCTTTTCCTGAGACGTCTGAGGCTTCCTGCGCTCCTCTGGTCTGGGGGATGGCTCCCCCGGCAGCCTGAGCTGGAGTGGGGTCAGCTTACACCCGGCCCAGCACCACGCGTCCGTCCTGTCTGCTGGCCTGCCTGGGGGCTGTGTCTTCTCCCGGAAGCTTCAGTGCTCCGCAGCAAAGTCAGAACACACCCGCGCTGGCGTATCCCGGTGTCCCCAGTGCTCCCGCCTCTTCCTAGCCGCGCCAGGCCTGCGCGGTCCTCTGTGCCCTGCACACACAGGCCTGGGCCTCCATCTGCCCCTCTCTCCCTTCTTGTCTTCTTCCTGGTGCAAATCCTTGCAGAACCGCTTTTCCTGAGTCATGCCATGATGCCACGCTATTATAAGAACCACACTTGAAACTCATTTATTGTGAGGATCTAGCGTTATTGATTAGGCCACACTGTCGTTTTTCATAAAGACCCCTGGGAAAATTCTCATCTCGTCTGAGTGCCCAAACAGCTGCACCCCCGAGAAGAGGATCCTTTTAGACACACTTGTGTCGGGGAGGCCGCTAGCTGGCCAGATCCGCTGCTCCCACGCTGGCGCACAGCTGGCTCCGGGCCTGGACCCCCCAGGCTCAGAGGTAGCCACTGAGCCCCCACCATTGATTTTTCACTTCTCTATCTATGCCCCATTTTCACTCCTGCTCCTGCTGGTTTCTAAATCCCTGCAAGGCACCTCAAAGCCTTTCTGGAACAAGGTTTGGGCTCAGTCGATAAACGAATCAATACAAATAAAAAGCTTTCCTTGCAGGGTTGTGGTGAGGATTAAGAGGAATAATGGATGTGAGTGTCATGCTAGGCCGGAGGGCGAACTGCCGACTAGGAGGATGAGCGGCTCCTGCGAGCCCTGCCTCCCTGCGCACCCCGCCTTCCCACTGTTGGAGGGGTCCCCTGTGACACCCCCTGCCCTTGTCTTCCCGTCCCCACCACAGGCACTCCTGCCTCCCTGCCCCTGGTGGTGTTCTTCCAAGTCTTACCAAGTCCTACCCTCAGTCAAAGGGAGGAGATTAGGCTGTGTTTCGAAAGGAGACTGTTGGAGAATTTGTGCATATATTGTTAAACTATCGCAACCTCCTGTGCACCCACAGGCGCCCACCTGGCTTTGACAAAGCTGTTCCCACTGTTTAGACCGCCATTCCCCCATTTCCCACTTCTGTCTGGCAAACTTAGACTTCCCAGGATTCTGCTTCAGCAGTGATCCACTTTCCTTCTGTAGAGCTGCTTGCTCTGCTCTCTGTGGAAAAACCACTCTTCCTGTGACTGTCGTGTGCTGGTGCAGGCTTCACAGAAGCAAGTCTCCGGGGTCCCCGGGGGCCGCTGACGCTCAGCACGCAGCGGCGCAGTAGAGGACCAGCTCTGCTGTTCCCTGCCTCTGCCCTCTCCTGAGTGCTCGGGGCTGACCGCACTGTGCTTGGCTCTGTGCCCTGCAGCCCGGCCCGGTCACTACATGTACAGGTCAGCGCTCCATCGAGGCCGATCTGCCTCCCTGGGAGGCTCCCATATCCACTTTGACCCTGAGTTGCTGGGGAGCTCTTGTGGCCAGGGGCCCCAAATGCACGCAATCCCTTGCTCAGCCTGCGGCCTCAGCCCTTGCTCCGAGCCTGGCAATTTACCTGTCACTCCACCACCTAGGAGCAGCATCCCCTAGAGCAACGGCGACCCAGATCTTCAGACCGCAGACCGGCAATAGAGCCTGCAGGGGCTACGCCACCTGGTGGCGATTCTGTGCATGTAGCGGTGACAAGGAGCTCTTTCCAGGTGAAGGAACGGAGGACCAGGGCTCCGCAGGTTATTAAAGGCGGAAATGCTCTCGGAAAACAAGCGCGGCTGAAAACATGAGGCCTGAGCCAGCGGGTGCTGGAGCCAGGCTGGGAGCAGCCTCGGTGGGCGCGGTGTAGAAGAGGCTGCAGAGTCAGGCGAGGGGGGAGCGGGCCAGCGGGAGGACAGCCGCCGGGAAGGTCACACGGGCTGCTCCATAGAATGAGGCTAGGAAAGGAAGGTGGCGCAGTCCTGGAGGAGAGAGGACAGGAGCAGGACACCGCGGCAGCGGAGCCCCTGCCAATTCCTGTGCCTGCACCGTTCTTCTGAAGGCTGTCTGCAGGGTGGGAAGCCAGGCTGACGGGGGAGCACACAGAGGAGGGTTCTCCACCATGTAGGGGGGCTGGGGACAGTCACCCCGAAGGCGCTTACGTTCCCTACCTGTACCTGAGGAAACTGAGGCAGGAGAGGGGAAAGCTGATTTGCAGATGCACGGCTGGGAGGTTGGTAGGCTGCACTCCGAGCGCAAAGGCTGGCCCAGGCCCTGGCATGTATGGCTAGACCTTCTGCCCTCTTGTCTCAACTGGACACCCCAGATGGAGGTGGCCGTGAGAGCAGCCCATGGGCCTATGGGCCCTGTTCCTGTCGTGGCAAGAGTAGCTGAAAGGGAGAGCCTGTTTAAACCCCAGGACCTTCCCAGGGGAAGGGGTGGAGCCTGCAGAACTGCTCAGCGCTGGGCCTCACGCTGGACAGCCAGCCTCTGGTTGCCCGCCTCGAAGACCCAGACAGCGTGTCTTGCATAGATCGGGACCCTTCATGTCCTGGAGCTCAGCTGTTCCCTCTGCAAAATGAGCAAAGCAAGAGTCCCCACTCCCAGAAGCTGGCCTGGGGGCTTGTCGAAGTTCGCAGGGCCTGCACTCTCACCCCAGCGTGACAGGGGCTGCACCCTTAGAGCCCTGCCTGCTGCGACTGGCAGCCATCCCTGGAAGCCCCCTTGGGGTGGGAAGTGGGTGTGAGGACCCGAAGCCGCCCGTGCCTAAACAGGTTCCAGTCCCTGGTGAGGCCCTGAGTCTCCTGGTGCCACTACCCACAGTCCCCAGGGGCGGGGCCTTTGGGCTCCCTACCTGGCTTGGCTGCCCACTGGCTGGCTGGCTGGGAGCCCATCCGTGTGCCTCTAGCGGAGTGCGGGCCTGCAGCTTCCTCATGGTAAAACGCGGAGCTGAGGCAGCCAGACGGCTCCGCCTCCCACAGACTCTGACGCCCTGCCTGCGGGGTGCTGTGCGAGTGCAGCGACATGGGTGAGCTGGCAGAGCTGTTGCAGGCCGGGCTGCTCCCTCCAGCTCCCCCTCATTCATTCGCTCCTTCATTCAGCACGTGCTTCCTTGGATGGCCACTGTCTTGGACACCGGATATGACAGTGACCGCTGGGGTGCATCTGGCCCCTGGTCTCCCTGGCTCATGGTGGCCTTGTGTTGGCAGCCTTTCCCTGAGCAGTGTCTTCTCCACAGGGACCTGAGCGAGAATGCCCTGCAGGCCATCCCCAGGAAGGCTTTCCGTGGAGCTACAGAGCTTAAAAACCTGTGAGTACAGGCCTGGGAAAGAGAAGGCTGCGGGCTCGGAACTACCCGAGGGTCACCTGCACCCCATGGATGTCCCTGTGCTATGGGGTCCAGGCCCCAAGGAGTGGGCTGGCTCTGAGATGGTTCCTACCAGCATGGGCTCCTGGAACATTCTGGGAATGGAGGGAACAGGGTACCCACCCTTTCTTCGGGCATGCTGCTGTGTGAGAACCAAGCAGAGCCTCACAGGGACTCTGGGATTAGGCTGAGGAGGGTCACACTGCGCTATGAGGCTGTGCTCTCAGCCCATCGCCCTCATCTTTGGATCCGGAGAGCTGGGTTTGGTCTTGCCCTCTAATCACAACCCCATAAGCTGAGGGTAGTCGTTCCGTGTCTCAGGCTTGGCCTGAGCTTTAAGGGCAGTGTGGAGCTGCAGGCACTGCCCTACACTGCTCCGATGCAATGGTCTGCGGTACTCTTCGGGGTTGCTCTGGCCCAGGCTTTCTACCTGCCTGAGGTCTGACTACACAGGGTGGCAAATGCCGTGCCAGACCGGCTCGCCACGTAGCTCTCACCCGCCGGGGCAGACACTGGGGACGCACTGCGGCGTCCTTCCCCACAGAGCTGAAGGCACAGCTTGCACGCACTCTGCAAGTGGCGCGCCAGGCAGCTGCTGCCAGTCGGTCTCACTCGGTGCTCGGAGGGAGTGTGTGTGTTGGCTGCGGCTGCTGCCGCTCCCAAGTTACTCTGTCCCAGTTTTTAGCTGCCAGAACCCTCCGCATAGTTTACAAAATGTAAGGGAGAGTGTCTCTCCTAGTGGTTATGCAAGGTTGGACAGAGCAATGAGATTGTCATTCCTACTCACTGTTTTCATAGAGAATAAGAAGACACCCAGCTTTTATTAATAGTTACTATTCGATTTTCACATTGTGTGAAAACAAATGATTGGGACCAGGCCTGCCCCCCCCTTTTTTTTGCGGAACCGGGGATTGAACTCAGGACCTTGTGCTTGCCAGGCAAATACTTATTCTACTGAGCTATCTCCCCGGCCCCTTTATTTTTAATGACATGCTTGGTCTAAAAGTTAGGGTGCCCTGCCCTAGGGACTGTACCCCTTCTCCACAATGCTCCTTTGCTTCACAGACAGCTGGACAAGAATCAGATCAGCTGCATCGAGGAAGGGGCCTTCCGGGCCTTGCGGGGGCTGGAGGTGCTGTAAGTAAACCCGGGGGCCCAGAAGGCAGTAGGGAGCTGGGCATGGGAGGCAGGACAGCCTGGGGTCACCTGAGGATGGGAGGCCCCGCTCCTGGGCTTATGCCTGCCCAGGCTGAAGCGTGGGCTGTAGCCCTGATACAGAAGGCTACAAGGCTGCGCTTTCTCTCACCCTTTGATCCAAGCCGCACCCTCAGGTGACCCTCGGGTGCACCAGAGCCTCTTTCCTGTCCTTCTAAACTTGGAATCAGTAGCTGGCTCCAGTCACTGTGGGGTTTCCCACTGGGGGACCTGCTGCCTGGGGCTGGTGCTCCCTGCCGGGCCGTGCAAGCTGCGGAGCATCCTCCCCAGACGTTCCTTCACGTTGAGCTCTGTCCTGCAGGCCGTCCTGCTGGGCAGATGCTAAATGACCAGTGCCCCCTTTCAGGACCCTGAACAACAACAATATTACCACGATTCCTGTGTCCAGCTTCAACCACATGCCCAAGCTGCGGACCTTGTGAGTCGGGGGTGGGGGGGAGCTGGGCGCCGAGCGTGCATGAGGCTGCTGCCCGGGATGGTGGGGAAGGAGGCAGGGCTGGCCAGAGGGCAGGGGCCGCTCTCCCCTGTGCCCCACAGGCCAGCTCAGGGCTGCTGCCCAGCATGGTGGGGAAGGAGGCAGGGCCGGCCAGGGGGCAGGGGCTGCTCTCCCCTGTGCGCCCTGGGCTCTCCCCTGTGCCCTACAGGCCAGCCCAGTGCTCTGCTCTGTAGAAACAGAGCGGGAGGAAAGAATCTGAAGTGGCTGGGCATGCAGTGTCCTTTGTGTTTGTTTTTCCCTTTTGTGTTTAACAATGGGCTGAGTGATCCTGATAGTGGAGTCTTTTTTGTGTGTGAGCTCAGTGGGATGCCAGGATGGTCCTTGGCACCCTGCAGCCAAGGTGTCCCCCAGGGAGGCAGGGAGGAGAGGGGACCAGAAAGTTTCCCAGGAAAACTTCGAGTTGAACCCAGGGCTGGGCCCAGCCTCTCCTGGGGTAGGATTCCCACTGTTTGGCTGGAGCTCAGGCTCCACATGGGTGACAAGCCACGCTGTCCTTCTGCAGCCGCCTGCACTCCAACCACCTGTTCTGTGACTGCCACCTGGCCTGGCTGTCGCAGTGGCTGAGGCAGCGGCCGACCATCGGACTCTTTACGCAGTGCTCGGGCCCCGCCAGCCTGCGCGGCCTCAATGTGGCTGAGATCCAGAGACATGAGTTCAGCTGCTCAGGTGCGTGCGTCCTGCCCAGGGCCTAGAGCTGCCCCTGTGCCTGGCCTCGCCCACTGCTCCTCCTGTCCTCCTGCTGTCACCGCCACGACCACCTGTAATCACACCAGCACCCGACTCCATCTCCACCCATCCTGGCCCATTACTTCCTGTCCCACCATCATCTCCTGTCCCCACCATTATCTTCTGATCCCAGGACCTCCCATCTTTGCCCACTGCCAGCTGCTATTCCTGCCATTACTTTTTGTCCACATGCTATGCTCCTCGTTTCCTCTCTTTTCCCCTGCCCGTCCCCACGTGGCCTCTTCCATTCCGTGTCCCTTCTGTCCCAGCCCCGACTATCTCTGTGCCTTCCCAAGGCCTCTCCCGCATTCTCCTACCCTGTCCCACCTTCCCATTGCCTCACCCTGCTACCTGACAGGTCATTGCATTTGGTCCCTAATCGTGGTTTCAGGCGAGGAGACCCCAAGGCCTGCCCCTTCCTGTTCCATCTAGGGTTCTAGGGTGGGTCCCTCACTTCCTCCCTGACTACTTTGGTCTCTAATACTGATCCAGAAAGGCCTGGAGGAACCCACAAGCCTAGGCAGCAGTTCTCACCAGCCCTCCAGGGCTCCTGCAACAGCTCAACTGACTTCTCTCTATATGGCCCTGGGGGTGCACCTCCGCATCCTTGGGATTCCTCCTCCTGCACCCCAGTTGTGCTTGTTGGAGCCCCCTTCTCACAGGCTGCTCCCTGGTGGCCACCCCTGCCCTCCCTTGCTCCATGACTCCAGGAAGCCTCAGTGTGAGGCTTTGGAGTGTGGCTGTCCCCTGCAAAGTACTGCAGATGCCAGAGACCAGGCTTGAGCGCCTCTGTGCTCAGGGCTGCTGTGGGAGCATGTGCACACGTGTGTGTGTGTGCGCAGAGCAGCTTGTGTGCGGTGTGTGCGTGCGTGTGCACTGCAGGGATGTGCTGGGCGAGAGGACACTGAAGGTGCACGGCCCTAGGGGGCCAGGGTTAGGGGCAGGTACGGATCTCTTGGGCTTCTTTTATTTTGAAACGCAACCTTTTTCTTTGCATTGGGAATACCCTGGTTTCCACGTGTATTGATTTATCGTGATGTTATTTCCTCCCCTGGAGTCTGCACATCCTGACAGCCCCTTTCCTGAGAAGGGCATAGTAGGAACACGGCCCTAGATGTTAGGTGCTAGATGTTAGGTGCCCAGCAGGAGGACAAAGCAGCCCGGATGCCTTGCGGAGCCGCCTCCCAGCATCTGCAGAAGCCCCGCAGGCCTCTGACCTGTAACTCTGCTGGTGGCAGGTGTGTTTTCTCTGCAGGACACGCCCAAGAGTGCTGGGGGCCGCTTTCTCCACAATCACCCAAAGTTGGAGACAGCCCAGGGACCACGGTGTAGACACATAATGGTGCACTATTCAACAACAAAAATTCACTACTGCTACACTCGACAACATGGTGAATTGCAGAGTTTTTATACTGGGTATAAAAAGCAGATCCAAAAGGGAACACACTGTATAACTCACGTAAAGCTCACAGCAAGCAGAGCAGTCGCTGGTGACAGACTTCCTAACAGTGGTGCAGGAGCGGCCCACGTCCGGGCGATGGCTGTGTGCTGTGCACCCGGGCCGGTCAAAGTGTGGGCGCATGTCAGACACGGGGCTTGATCCTGGTTGTACCATCTATTAATTCAGCTTGTGGATTTCTGCAGATTAACATCCAGGACTGAGTGGCCTCACTTGTGAACAGGCAGTGCTCACAGGCCCCTCGAGGGGTTGTATAAGAGGGTGTAAATGAGGCTCTGCATGTACCACACGTACTGCAGTACACAGCAGAGTGAGCAGGGAGTGCACTGTTATGGTTTGTGTCTAGCTGTGCCCCCAAAGCCTCATGTAAGTTATGGGGCAGAAGGGGCAAGGCATGACTTGAGGGGCGGGGCCAGAGGACCGGGGCGGGGGCGGGAGAGGGGGGGCCAGAGGACCGGGGCGGGGCCAGAGGGGCGGGGCCAGAGGACCGGGGCAGGGCCAGAGTGGCGCGAACCTTGAAACTGGCTAGCCTGCGCTTTCTCGGAGACGCGGAGAGGGTCATCCTGGACACCACAGTGCCCCAGCCGCTCCTCCAGTATCTTGAAACCTCCAGTAACTGTGAGCTAAATAAACCTTTCCTTCCCTCATTTTGAGTGTCGGGTATTTGTCTCAGCAATGAGAGAAGAGCAAGTAAGGCAGAATTTGGTACCAGGAGTAAAACCCTGACTAAAACATGCACATAGTTGTTGCCGTCCCATGATAGGAGTGGGGGGCTCAGAAGTGTGATGCGACTTGGACCAGAACACAAAGCTTCAGAATTTTAGGCCAGGATTTCTTAGTGTTGGGATCAGCGTCCAGAGCAGCTCAGACTGAATTCAGCAAATGTCTGCTGACAGTGCCTGCTGTGTCCGGGAGCCCAGTGTTACATCCAAGTTCAGAATCCCTTCTTTTCTGCACCCATGGTGACCTCCTCTGGTTTGTCCTCATCCACAGAAACTGCCCCCTGTGCCACCCATCAGCACGGGCCTGGGGAGGGTGGGGCTGATACAGGGCACTGAGGCTGCACTCTGCTGCCCCGCAGGCCAGGGGGAGGCGGGGCGAGTGCCTGCCTGCACCCTTTCTTCCGGCTCCTGCCCAGCCATGTGCACCTGTAGCAACGGCATTGTGGACTGTCGTGGCAAAGGCCTCACTGCCATCCCTGCCAACCTGCCTGAGACCATGACAGAGATGTGAGTGCGGGACAGGGAAGGGCTGGGACCCCTCCCCCACCAGCAAGGCAGGTTCTGGCTGCCCCAGAAGAGCCGGAGTAGGTACTGCCCCAGGCCTCACTGCCAGACCCTTCAGTGGCATGTGGAGAAGAGTTGCCCTGAGCAGGCTGCGCTCTCTGTCCAAGGCTGGGAGACTCTGAAGGGTTGGGAGGAGTGTCCCCCTGTGGTGAGCCCAGTGCAAGGGTGCCAGGTGACCTCCAGTGGGCCAATGACTGTCCTTGTGGCTACCTTTCGGCCATGGAGCCCTGGGATAATGAGGCTCGTAGCACAGCAGGTGCCCACACAGCTGCCCAGCCTGCAGCCTCAGAGGGGGAGGGGAGCAGCGATCCACGATGCAAGGCCTGCTTGGGCGGGTGAGCCTAGGAGGCGTGGCCGGGTGAGCCTAGGAGGCGTGGCCGGGTGACCTGGACCTATTGCCCCTGTTCTTCTCTGCAGCCGCTTGGAGCTCAATGGAATCAAGTCCATCCCTCCAGGAGCCTTCTCTCCCTACAGAAAGCTGCGCAGGATGTAAGTTCCCGCCACCGCACCCAGCTGGCACAGGGCAGAAAGGAGAGCCTGGACCAGGGGCACCGCAGAGGTGCTGCCGCCTCCCAGGCCACGGTGGGGCCTGCAGCGGCCCAGGCCCACGTGCTGCTGGCCAGCCTCCCCTATCAGTGTGGGCGCCAGTAACAGCGAGCAAGGATGCAGGCGGCCCATAGGGCACAGCCAGGTGCCCCGGCTTCCCCACGCTCGCTCGCTGTGGACTGCAGAGCCCAGCAGGGGCTCAACTGCGTCCCCTCTGTGCCCTCCAGAGACTTGAGCAACAACCAGATTGCTGAGATGGCGCCTGACGCCTTCCAGGGCCTCCGCTCCTTGGACTCACTGTGAGTAACAGCAGCAAGGCCCCTGGGGTGGCCTGGGGGCCCTGAGGAGTGAGCCAGAGGTCCCAGGGCCCCTCCACTGAGTTCAGGTAACGTCACCATGCAGGACTCCTGGTCCCTGCGGAGCTGGGCACCACAGGTTCCTCTGCACAGCCCCAGCCTCCTGGCCTCCGCAAAGCACCCTCTCTCGGGCTGCAGAGTCCGGAGCTACTGTGCCCAGCTCACCCTTCCTCCTGGCAGCCCCCCTGGGGCACCAGCAAGAGGAGGGCATTGAGGGCTGAGTGCCCAGCAGGCTGGGCGGGATGCAGTCCTGACCACTGAGCTGCTCTCTTCACTAGGGTAGGGATGTTCCAGCATTCTTTAAGGGAGTCATCTTGACTCACCTCTTCCCAGAAGAGTCCTGAGCCGTCCCTGGGCACCCACAGGGACATCGGCCATCAGCTCCAGCGGAAACATCTGCCACACCTTGATATCTTTTATTTCAAACACACTTGATCACAAGGTGTGGCGGTTGACACGGACTCAGTGCTGCCTTTCACCTGTTTCCCTCAGGTCGGTGGTCTATCCATTCACAAAGTGTCACACAGCATCACCTTTCCCCAAAACACTCACATGAACTCCCAGGCTCAGCAACCCTCCTGCCCTCTGAAGTCACGTGGTGCTTTGTGCAGAGAGCACACCCAGGGCGCCCTGTGGCCAGGCAAGCTCCCATGGGTAGTGATGTTGCCCAAGAGTGTCCACTTACCCGGTGGCAGCACTCATTCACGAAGGCGTAGACCAGAGGCCTGTGCCCCTGGGAGAGCATAGGAGAGGCCAGCTCCCTGCCTCTGGCACAAGTTCTTCCCTCCAGGTTGTCCCAGGGGTGGGTGGGGCCAGTTCTGAGTCGCGTGCAGGAGCTTCCGCGTGTGCCGCTGGCACAGCTCTGCCTGACAGCCTGATGCGAGGAGAGGCCAGACAGGGCTGTTCCTCTGAAGTGGGTGAAACTCTTACACTCGGCTGTACCAGTCAGAGCAAAAGGTAAAATAACCCACTTAGGTGGGTTACGTTGTTCACTGACGCCAGGCCCAGCCAGCTCCTGGTCGTCTGTGTCCACTGTGGCCAGCCCTGCCCTCGGTCCCTGCTTCAGTCCGCTCCACTCCATTTGCCACACAGTGGCTGGAAGGATGCTCCGGAAGATCTGTCCATATTTGAGAGTTGCAGATGCTGGCTGGGACAATCCAAGCTACTGTGCCATTCATTTTCCTCTGTAAGCCACAGTGGCTTTTTAAGCTCGCCACATGAGCCATCCTGGGTCCCACCACCGGGCCTGCACCTGACGTGCCCTCTATCAGCCATGTTTGATATATATTTTTTTAACTCAGACTAAATATTTATAGTGGTGGCTTGTGGGAGCTGACTACAACAGGAGACATAATCTTCCCCTTTCCAGCCTCCCTCAGTGTTTGTACCATCTGCCTGAGCCCATTCCTGCCTGTGCTTTTTTAACTTTTTCTTTTTTCTAATTACACATGGAATTCATTCATGCTCAATGTAGAAAACTTTGTGAATACAAAGTATTGAAAAAAAAAAAAACCACTTGCAGTCTTCCCCCCTAGATTTCACATTGAACACGCCACCTGTCATTCTATTTTTTCCCATGTAATACTCATTGCTGCCCAGTCAGACTTCCTCATCCTTTTGGGTCCTGGGCCAGGTAAATTTCCCATAAGGTCCCCTGAAAGGACCCTTTGCAGATTTCTATGGGGTTCATGTGTGCCAGCAGGGGTGGGGCTACTCCGACAGTGGAGGTCGCAGTCACAGAAGGTACTTCTGGGAGGGCAAACGGGACGTTGGGGCCCGCTCTGAAGACACCGCTGCACCATCTGCTGGAGAGGGTCTGCGGCACCCATGTGTGCAGCGTGCTCTTCAAATGGCTTGAAGGATGTGGGCGTCCGCAGAGCTGCGCTGGCCCTGGAGGGATGCACCCTGACCCTTCTCTTCTGATGCTTTTTCTCCAGGGTCCTCTATGGGAACAAAATCACAGACCTCCCCCGTGGTGTGTTTGGAGGCCTATACACGCTACAGCTTCTGTAAGCATCTGCTCTCAGGGGTCCTTGGGTTGGGGCAGGAAGAGGCCTGCACTCCTTTGGCCTTACAACTTCTTTGGGATCCAGACACATCTGAGACAGGCACTTGGAGGACAGGCTTTGTAGAGGCCAGGGAGGGAGACAAAGGCCAGAGCAGTTACTTGCAGGACACCAGAGTTCAGAGACACTGACTGCATTCCTGAGGTGCTCAGCATGGTTGGGGACAGGAATGTCTCCTGCAGGGGACACCAAGCCAACTCAGCCTTCCAGAACCACAAGCTAGGGATAGGATTCTCTCCCAGGACTGGAGACCCTGGATACAAATGCTCCTGCCCAGCAGCTGGAGCCCCAGCAGGACTCTGGGAGGGGAGTGTCCCCTCTGCAGTGCCTTTAGGAGGTGGCTTCACCCCTGTGCTCCCTGGCAGCTCTCAAGGTGTCTCTAGTGGCTCCTTGAAGGGGAGAGAGAGACTTTAGGGTGCCTGGGTGAGAGTCTGTTCCAAGGCTGTCTCTTACCTCCTGGCCCCGGCTTGGCCCCCAGGCTCCTGAACGCCAACAAGATCAACTGCATCCGGCCCGACGCCTTCCAGGACCTACAGAACCTCTCTCTGCTCTCCCTGTATGACAACAAGATCCAGAGTCTTGCCAAGGGCACCTTCACGTCCCTGAGGGCCATCCAGACACTGTGAGTCCTGCCCCCATGTCCTGGCCCACAGCGGGAAGGTCCCAGCAGGAGGGCCCAGAGGCGGTTGCGGGTGCAGGTCCAGACAGCCCCGTGCCACCCAGGCCCCCTGTGCTGCCAGAAGGTGGCCTGCACCGGAGGGACAGACTCTGGGTTAGACAGTCCTGGATACAAACCCAGTGCTGCCTTTTACTGACCGTCCGACCTTAGGCAAATGAAGCTTCCCTCTGGGGCTCCCTTTTATGTATCTGTAAATGAGGCCATCTCCATAGAGTTCTCAGGAAATTAAAGCAGGTGTCTGTGCATAGATTAGCTAATTGTAAATGCTCACTAAATGCTGGCTACAGCTAACCAACTGCGACAACGATAATACCGTAGCCATCGATTCCAAGATACATGTTTCTGCACTGACAGTTCTGAAGCTGGAATGCATTTTATGATGGAGCCATATCATTCACTTGGCAGAACTTTGCCTTTCTTGATATCCATATGAATAATAGTGTGCCTTGCAATTGGTAATGTCAAAACAAATGGAATGTGCTAAATACAATGATGATTAGAAACTAAAACCCAGCAGCACATTGACAAGCTTGCTGTAATAATTTATTGGAGAAAATCACAAGCGTGTTGAAAGTGTAACCGTGAGCCCCCACCCATGCATCACCTCTGCTGCCCTCTCTTCCAGCCCCCTGAGCTAGGAAGCAAACCCCAGACAGAGGACTTCATCCGCATCTCGAAAAGACAAAGATGCCGTAGAGTGAACACACCACGAGGGCAGGTGTTTCGCTCAGGGCTAGGGCACTTTGTTAACATGCCTGACGCTAGGTTCCATCCCCAGCGCTGCAAAACCATAACAGAACTCCACAGCACAATTATTCTATCTAAAAAATTAATTCTTTGATCTCATAAAGTATTAAATTTGTGTCTGAAATTCCAAGCCTCTCATGCCTGTTATACACTTTTCATGCTTCGCTGGCATCGGGATTTAAATAAAATCCTTGCAATGCAATTGGCTGATACTGATTGACGGGTCCCTGAAATAATTTTTCAACTATAGCTATCCTCTCCATCTCCTTTCTTTCCTTATAATTTATTTGCTGAAGACAACATATCATTGGTTCAGTCAAGGTCCCCGGAGTCTGGGCTTGGGACAAGTGTCATATTTCTCTGAGCTGCTATGTCCTGCCAGATTAAGAATGCACCCAGGAATGTGTCAGGTTTACTTTGATTGATGCTGGGTTGATTGGCAAGAGGACTTCTTGGGTAGGGCTATGGACTTCCACCAGCAGGCGTGTGATTTCTGGTTGCTTTTTTCTGGAGGGGGAATTAAATGAGCCATTGACCTCAATGCCCATCACTTCATGAGGATTCTGAGATGGTGACGTTGGACTGTAACCCTGCCTTCATCTGGTGCTGCTGCTGTGGCTAGCCTTTAAGAAAGAGTCCTTGTGTTTTAGCTAGAGTGCTTCCAAATAGGGAAATTTATCTCCTGTGTGCAAGTAAGTCAGGCACTTGGAGATTTCATCTGTGTACACCTGTGGTCCTGAGCCTGGCCTGACTGGCGCCGGTCATGTGGTGAGTACCTCTGGGTACCCACTGTTGTAGCACCACGACCTTTGCTGTTGCAGCAGGTAGTGCTCACTGTCAGACAGCATCCACACTGGGTGTGGGAGTGGGTTCTAGGTATCAGCATGTATAGTTGGTCAGGGTGAGAATCCTACCAATTAACTGCTAGTTTCAAAAACCTGCTGATGTTTCTCAGGATCACTGCCTTGCCCATCTTGTGTGTATAAATGTATGGATTTGCCCCCTCCTGTTTCCCAGCTTTTCTCCTTGCCCTCTCCTCATTGTCCAATCCTCAAGTTCTCACTTTCCTTTTAATTGTGTTATACCTTTCTATTTGTATTTCTTCTTTTGAGTTCTTATACCAGGGAGACGATATGATATTTACACATGTGGGTCTGGCTTATTTCACTTGTATCTTCAAGGGTATCCACTTCAATATAAAGGCTTCAAATTTATCATTCTTTATAGCTGAATAATACTCCACTGTATAAAAATACCACATCTTTTTCAACCATTCCTCATGTGACGGGCATCTTGGTTGTTTCCAAGATTTGCTATCACAAATTGTGCTGCTATAAACATAGGTATACATATATCACTATGATATGACGTTTTTAGTTCCCCCGGGAAAATTCCCAGTAGGAGGATAGCTGGCTTGAATGGGATTTCCAGTCCTAGTTTCTTGAGTCTCCACACTGATTTCCATAACAGTTGCACCAGTCTACATTCCCACCAGCAGTGGAGAAGGGTTCCTTTTTCCCCACAGCCTCTCCAACATTTGTTGTTGGGTGATTTTTTTATGATAGTCATTCTTTCTGGGGTGAGATGGTATCTCAGTGTTGTTTTAATTTGCATTTCATGGATGGCTAGTGATGTGCAGCATTTTTTCATATATTTATTTGCTTCTTTAATTTCGTCCTCTGAGAAGTGTGTATTCATCTCAGATGCCCATTTCTGGATTGGGTCTTTAAATTTAGGGGCCCTAATGTGTTTTTACTTCTATATAGATTCTAGAGAGCAGACCTTTGTCTGAGTGCTTATTAGTTAAGATTTTTTCGAAATTTGTGGGTTGTCTTTTCACTTTGTTGGTAATTTCTTTTGACGTGCAAAAACTCCTCAGTAAGAGTTGGTCGCAGTTGTTAATTCTTTCAAGTATTACTTGTGTAATTTGATTTTTGTTCATGAACTCTTTGCCTATCTCTATGTCTTCAAGAGTTCCTCCTACTTTCTCTTCCAGGAGATTTAGTGTTTCTGTTTTAATGTTTAGATCTTTAATCCATTTTGACTTTAGTTTAGTGCATGGTGATAGACCTGGGTCAAGTTTGAGTTTTCGGCATGTAGAGAGCCAGTTTTTGCAGCACCATTTGTTAAAAAGGCTATCTTTCTTCCAGTGAGTATGTTTGGCCCCTTTATCAAAGATAAGGTGGCTGAGTATGTTTGTAGGGGCTTCAGCATCTTCTAATCTATTCTATTGATCTTCAAGTCTATTTTGTTGCTAATGCCATGCTGATTTTGTCACAGTAGCTTTGTACTATAATTTCAAGTCAGGAATTGTAATGCCTCCTGCCTTGTCTTTGTTGGCCAGGTTTGCCTTTGATATTCTAGGTCTTTTCTGCTTCCAAATAAATTTTAGGAACAATTTCTCTAGGTCTGGGAGGTATGTTGGTTGTAATTTGATAGGGATTGCATTAAATCTGTACAATTTTGGGAGTATGGCCATCTTCACAATGCTGGTTCTTCCTATCCAGGAGCAGGGAATATCTTTCCATTTTCTGAAATCTTCTATGACCTCTTTTTTCAGAGTACTGTAATTTTCTGTGAAAAGATCTTTGAGTTCTTTGGTTAAATGAATTCCAAGGTGTTTCATTTTCCGTGGTGCTATTGTAAAAGGTATTGTTTCTCTAATTTCCTCTCAGTGTGTTTGTTATCTGTGTAGAAGAATGCTGTTGACTTTTGGGTATTGTCTTTGTATCCTGCTATGTTACTGAATTTGTGTATCAATTCTAGTAGCTTCTTGGTGGAGTTTTTTGGGTCTTCCAAGTAAAGTATCATGTCATCTGCAAATAATGATAATTTAACTTCTTTTTTACCTGTTCTTATTCTTTTTATTTTTCCCTCTTTTATAATGGCTCTAGCCAATGATTCCAAAACCATATTGAATAGGAAGGGTGATAGAGAACATCCTTGTCT